ATCAACAGGAAGACATGTAATGTCAGAAACTGGATTCATACAGGAAAAAGCTGAAGAGAATCCCCAAGCGACAGTGGAGAGAGAATCTCAGGATGTCAGCTGCACACACGCCCAAGGGGCAGCTGGCGCAGGTAAGAGCTCAGCAGTCTCTAAGATGAAAACCATCCCTAAGGCTGGACTCTGGAAATTCCACTGTGTTTTTTATTTTATTTTATTTTATTTTTGAGATGGAGTTTCGCCTTGTTGCCCAGGCTGGAGTGCAGTGGTGCAATCCGGCTCACCACAACCTCCACCTCCTGGGTTCAGGCAATTCTCCTGCCTCAGCCTCCCGAGTAGCTGGGACTACAGGTGCCTGCCACCACACCTGGCTAATTTTTGTATTTTTAGTGAGACGGGGGTTTCACTATGTTGGTCAGGCTGGTCTTGAACTCCTGACCTCAGGTGATCCGCCCACCTCGGCCTCCCAAAACACTGGGATTACAGGCGTGAGCCACCGTACCCGGCTACCGTGTGGTTTTTACAAAGCTGTAGGAATGTGTGGAAACGCTTAGTCTAAAAAATTGGAAGAGATGTTTAAAAACCAAAAAACAAAGCAAATGAAAAAAGAAAGGAAGCAATTATGAACTCGTGGCTGAGCAGGAAATAATATTTACATTGCATTAATAATGGGAACACTGGATATGCATTTAACAGAAAATCATATTGAGTAGATGGGGAGGAGGTCTGAGAGCGTGTAAGAAATGTGAACTTCTCCACCATAAGAGGAGTCTGTAGATGATGGGTAAAATTGAAGGATTAAGAGATTAAAAAAAAAATCAGTCTGATATTTAGCAAGATAGAGTTTAACCGAGGGAGCAATTGCTGAGTGGGTGGGATTATGTCGGCGACAGGAGGGGCTGGCAGGATGCAGGAGGACTGCCGTTTTTTGCTGTTATAAGCCTTTTCAGCACTGCACCAGTCCACGTTATGCAGTTTCAATTACCTGTTATCAACCTCAGCCCAAAAACATTAATAGGTTTTGAAAGAAAATGACAGAGATAGATAGTGAGAGAGACCACCTTCTGTTACAGTATATTGTTATGATTGTTCTATTGTATGTTGCATTGTTAATTATTGCTGTCCACCTCTTAGCTGTGCCTAATTTATAAATTAAACATTATTTTTCTCCACCATCGTGGTGTGTGGTTGACTCGGTTTTTTGCCACAGCTTCTCACAAGACGTTCAGAGTCAAGCGATTTCTGGCCAAGAAACGAAAGCAAAATGGCCCCATTTCCCAGTGGATTTGTATGAAAACTGGTAATAACATCAGGGATAGCTCCAAAAGGAGGTGTTGGAGAAGAACCAAGCTGAGTCTCTAAGGAATTGAACATGAGATGGCACACGTGTTTGTCAAGGTCACGATCAGGATATCTTCCCACATCAAGTTGAAAACGTCGCCACTATCTGGACAGCTGGATATGTTTGCTTGGGAATGTACTTTTTCTCTTTGTTTATATGCTTTGCACTAGTGGGTGGGGTTCAGTAATACATATGTGAGTTTTTGTTTGTTTGTTTGTTTTTTTGAGACAGACTCTCCCTCTGTTGCCAGGCTGGAGTACAATGACACGATCTCAGCTCACCGCAACCTCCGCCTCCCTGGTTCAAGGGATTCTCCTGCCTCAGCCTCCCAAGTACCTGGGATTACAGGCATATGCCACCAGGCCTGGCAAATTTTTGTATTTTTTTTAGTAGAGTCAGGGTTTCACCATGTTAGCCAGGATGATCTCGATCTTCTGACCTCATGATCCACCTGCCCCAGCCTCCCAAAGTGCTGGGATTACAGGCGTGAG